ATATAAAATTTAAAACTATTAAATATATATCTATAAATAAAGTGTCTTTGAATAAAAGATTATAAAGATTATATTAATTAAAAAATTAACATTTATAATCTATATATAAATAAAATATTTAATTCAACCATTAGTTTTTGAAAATATTAATTATAAGATTTGGTTTTAAGTAGGTCCTAAAAAAATTTAGAGGTAAATATTGTATAGAATTTTCTACACGTATTGTACAATTAAAAAAATTTACTAACGATATGTTGATTTGAGTGGAAGGAACTTGATACTCTTTAAATAAAATCTCGAGTTTGAGTCTTGTAAATGGAGAAATAGGTATTGAAAGAAGTTCTTCTCTAATGGGATCTGATGCAACTTAATTCTGGATTAATCATATCCAATGTGATTATTGGATACCAGGAAAGTAATATAAAAAAAATTAAAATAAAAAGTTTTTTCCTTTTTGCCAAAAAAAATTTCTAAATTACCTCAAGCGGGAATATCCCTCGTAGATTTCTTAATGAGTTTTTAGATTTCTTATCACCTTATAAATTAAATGAATTTCTTGTTACAATTGCTTCTTGACTTTCATGACTTTCAGCAATATCATAGTTATGATAAATAAGTTTTGATATATTTGTTTCCACCCAATAAAAATTTCAAAAATAAAAAATTAAGAAGAATCCAATGAATTTAAAAAAAGAAAAAATTATTTTTTTCCTAATAAAAGAAATCACTAAATTTTAATGAAACTTAAAAATAGTATTGCTTTACAAATCATATTTAAATCTTTTCTTATTAAAATCATGCAAAATACATTAGCGCAAAACTAAACATTATAAAAGACTTATAGGAGACTAATACATGGTTATCGAAATATGGATAAACTTGTAAAAATTTAATAAGTGGGTTAAAAAAAAAAAGATTGCATCAAATTTAAAATTAATTAATATGTAATTTCAGTCATATGGTTTATAAATAAAATAAATTATAAGATAAAAAATTATATTTTATTATACAATCAAAAATAAAAAATTAATAATAATTAATAATTAATAAAATAAATTTTCTTATATTTAACGCATTTTGATCATATTTTAATATAAAATTTTAACACTTAAAATCTTATTATGTACACTGGCATGAACGTTACCACACAAAAGTCAAAAACAACTTGTCTAGAGAAACGTGACAGTTAAAAAGAAAAGGGTTAAACCCCTAATTTGATCCTTAAGCTATTGTATGGACCTATAATTTGGTCCTTAAACTAAAAAAATCCTTAAAGTAAAAAAAATCCCTAATTTAGTTTCTGAACTACTGTACAGACCCTAATTTAGTTTTTACTATTTATCAATTTGCTTCAAGTTGGTCGTTTAGTATAAAAAACAGCTTACGTATTTGTTACTTAACAACAAAAAATAGTAACTTAACGACGAAAAATAATAATTTAATGGTCATGTGTCATATTAATAATAAGACACGTCAGTTAGTTTTTGTATAAAAAGATCAATTTGGGGTAAATTGGTAAACAGTAGAGACCAAATTGAGAGTCCGTACAATAGTTTAGGGACCAAATAATGAATTTTTTTAGTTTAAAGACCAAATCAAGAGTCCATATAACAGTTTAGAGATCAAATTAAAGATTTAACCAAAAAATAAAAAACCTTTAACTTAAAATTTTTTTTTTTTATATGACTTAAAGTTAAAAACTCTTGTAGGCAGCTTAAATTGTGGTCGAAAGGGTTCCGGTTTTGAACTTTTATGGGTCGCTCTCGCTGGGGCAAAACTAATTGTTAAGCCCCCCTAACTTACCCTATTTTTGCTGATGAGGCCTCAAATAAAAAATCAAGCTGATAAGCCCTTAAACAACATAATCGTAGCAAATTAGTCCCTGGTTGACTGCCACTGTTAGCACCAGTTAAGTTCGACTGATGTAGCAGTTAAAATAGACAAACGGGCAACAGTGACAGTAACAAAAAGATAGTGAATTGCAATTTAAATTTGAATAGATGTGGTCCCCGAACTTTAAGTTATTAATGTAGATAAGTTGTAAATTAAAGGCACATAACTTAATTCATCTAAAGTTGCATTTACTTCATAATTCCAATTAAAGATACATATTTAGAGATTTTATATTCAGGGAACTAATTAAAGTCAAAATTAAATTTGAACTGATCAACAAAATTTATAAAAATTACAAGCTTTTAGAAAAATTAAAACCACTGAAATGAAATAAATAAAACATTGAAAATCATGTTTTATAAGATTGTTAAATGAAATATGATAGATGGTCGACGAGATGAAGACATATTTGCAATTGTACTAACCAAGTTTTTGATGATAAAAACAGAATAATTCTAAAAGTACACTTTGCAACAACAATGTTGAGATCAGTGTTTTGAAAATTGACTCGGAAGTCAAAACATTTTGACCTTTGATTTCTAACAAAATATCGATTTAACTAAATATGAATAAATATAATGTCATGCAATAATTTGGCACACCACATGTAAGGGTTTTATTGGTTTTTAGCCGTTGTCCCTTATTACAAAGGAGATGCAGGTTCGAACCTTGTCGGTGTAAAATATAATTTTTATGCTTTTAACTTGAAATAGATTAATGGATTTCTTCACATGTAAAATATACAATAAAAGTAATTTTTTAATTAATTTATATAAAGAATTATAAAGGTTGACTTAAATTAATTAATTAATCAATTAAAATCATCTATGCAAACATCAATTTTTATAATTTTTTATATAAACTAATTATAAATAAATGTAAAAATTTATATTATCGTATTTCTAACTTATAATATATTATTAAGTTTTTCTTATTTATGTTAAGGGTAAAATAAATATATTTTTAATTAACAAGAAAAATTAATATTGGTTATGATTCTTTAAAAAATTGAAATCTTGATATTAAATTATATTGTTTTATTTTATTAAAATTTAATTTAAAATTTAAAAATTTATTTTATTAACTATTGAAATTTAAATTTTAAAATTGATTAAAATTTTAAATTGGGATTTCAATTTTTAAATATAGTTTAAAACTCTAATTTTTTTAAAAGTCAATTCTAATACGTATTATTCTCTTAATTAATTTATATAAAAAAATTATAAAAGTTAATTTTAAATTAATTAATTAACCAATTAAAGTTATTTTTACATACCAATAGCATTAAAATAAATATAAATTTTTATAATTTTTTATGTAAATTATTTATAAAAATCTATACTAATTACATTTTTAATTTATATATTTATAATAAAAATTAGATAATTACTATATTAATTTTATTAGGAAAGTCAACGATATTGCCGTTTACATAGGGTGTAGGGGAGCTGACAAAAAATAAAATAAATAAAATTTTGAAGTAATGGTCTCACAATTGCATGTGACATCCTAGTGGCAAAAATCTATCAATATCTCTCTTTAAGTCTTGTGTTTGAACCCTTGAGGTGGCTTTTCTAATAACTTTAAACCGTTTGGTTTAATGGTTTAACGATTTATATTGGTTCAAATAATTTTGTTGGTTTCATACAATTCAACCATTTCACTGGTTTTAAGCACTCACCCGACCCATTTATAGCATCGGGCATTGGTTTGATTGGTTCGATTGACCAACTCGGTCTGATTTTCAAAACAATGGTAAGGATGGATGAAAAATTTAAGGCTAGCAATGGTGGCCGCAAGATGTTGAGAGATTGTAAAATGCTTGAAATGATGAAGGTGGTGATGGTTGAAGGAGATTGAAGAGCTGGGTATGAGTGGTGTGGTTGAGTAGCAATAAATTTACATTTCATTGTTAGGAGAAAGAAAGAAAAAAATCATTGATTTTGATTACATAATTTGTTGAAGTTCAACTGAATCCGTAAAAAATAATTTAATCCTTCCAAAATAATGCAATTGTTTACTACTATTGCCGCAACTCAAGAGGAAGAAACACTCATAAAAATTGACTTAAATATATAGTTGTTAATAAAATACTTAAATTGCAATTTACTATTTTTATACTATAATTAACTGCTGCCGTGTAATATAACTGCAGAATTTAACAAAAGCCAACGGTGTCAGTTTACCAAGGGCTAATCTGCTTTAATTTGATGGTTCAAGGGTTCATCCTCTAAAATGAGATAAGTTAAGGGGCCTAACAAAAGGTTTTCCCCTCTGGTTTTGAACTTTTATGGGTCGCTCTCGCTCGCGTACGCCTTGTGCCCTTGAGACCCATACAATTGGTTCGGTTCCCAATTTTCCATGTCAAAGTCTTCCAACTGGTTTTCATATTTTTTTCTTTCTAAAATACAACCATTTCTTTTAACTTTTTTTTTTTTATGGGACCAATTCTTTCGTCTTTAAACTATACTAAAATGTAAACATAACTTAACAAATGTTGACCATAAAGTATGCACATATTGAAAAACCTAAACACATCTGTGTTATATGTTAATGTGTCAAGATAATTAGTATTTCTACTAATTATAATTGGATTGGAGCTCTCTTTTTTTTTTTTAATTTATATATGTTCTAAATAGATAATACCTTGTGAAGTATAAACATCATTTTCTTTTTTAATTATACATTTTTGAAAGAATATCATAACATTTTGAGATTCTATAAGTTGTACCAACAAAATATGTTTAATTTTACTAAAAACAACTTGAGTTAATAACTCTTGTATTCCTAGAAATAATATATCTACATTCACCTCATTATTTTCACTTTAATTTTGTAAGATCTTATTTATCAATCTTTAAATTTATTATTGACGTCATAATTTTACATTTATGTATAAAATATAAAAGATATGAAGTGATGTTTGGTGGCAATTATCAAATTAATTAATAAAAATCTATTTTCACTACCAAAAAAGCTCAGAATTTTCTTCAACTAATTGAATATTTTTTATTTGGTAAAAAAATTGAAATTTTTCCATGTAATCTATCCAAATTAGATTTTTTATATTTATTTTTCTATAAAAATGAAAATAAAAAGAACTTTGTAAAGACACATGACACACGATTTCCTGCGTCTACTACTTCTCTCTATATAGCCCTTCTCTACGCAGAGAACTACATTCTTCGGGTTTTCCTTTCAGTCCCTCTTTCTCTATACCCCCTCGAGTTCTAACCTTCAAAGCTAATCTCTCTTGAACCAGGTACTCTCTATGTTCCACTTTCTCCTCTTTCATTGTCTGTTCTTGTATAGATTTAATGGAGAACTTAAGCCAGTTGCTGGGTTTGTTCCCTTTCGTTTATGCTTGATGGGTGTTTCTTTAACTTTGAATATTGACAATAGATGCAAATCTACACATAACCCATTTGTCAAGATGTTGTCTTTCACGTTTAGTTTATACGTTTCAAGCTTTCCCACGGAGTTTCACCAAGGGGGTCAATGTCCGTTGTTGCTTGTTTCCATTTTGCATATACTCTTCGTTCTTGATGTTCACTCTGTGCGCTGCTCCTGTTGCTTATGAGTTTTCTCTCTGTTTAAACATGGGTTAAATCTTCTTTTTTGTTTTTTTTGATAGAGGGTTAAATCTAATTCTTCATGGATCACATTAGAATTTCACATGTAATCTTGGTGTTAGCGGTGCTTTCTTGGATATTATCGGGTTGGCTGTGATTGTCTGCAGTTTTCACTCTTTATGTAAATGTATTACTTGTTTTGTTTTAGTGGATTGTTCTTACTTCTCAATTCCTTTATTTTAGCTTAATTACATCCTTGAATGAATTTCTGGGTTTTCGTGCTGAATTTTGTATTAACATGGTTCTGGGATGGGTGATCTTCTTCTGAGGGGTGTCCTTTGTATTATGCCTTCTGCGTTGTAACTATTTCTTACTTCAGGTCTCATTTGCTTTAGGTTTGCATATTCTCTTTTGTGCATTTTATTGAGTGATCAGGATATGCTTGTCCATCTGCAATGTATGTGATTTTAGATTTAACAATTGGTTTGGATGGGAGAACAGATAGGGATTTCTCTTTCTGGAAAATAAAGTTAGGGTTCACTTTAACAATCTCGTTTTCGGTCCAACTGGGTGTGGCTGTTTTTCTTTTCCCACAATGTCTGTGACAACATGTGGTATTTCCTACAAACTGGTGGCATTTAGGCTTGAAGTTTTTTAGTTTTCTGGTTGATTAAAGAAACATGTTTTCTCCAGATTGCATTTTATGCTGATTGAATGATTAGGAGGTTCCATTCCTTTGTTTGAATGATTTTCACAAACTTTTCATCCTTGTGGATACTCTTTGATAGCCATCTCTGATACTTTGAACAAACTGATTACTATTTCAATAAAGCATTTCGTTCTTTTATGGCTGAATATTAGGTCTTAAGCTTAATTCTTTTTTTTTTTTTGTGAAACTCGAAATTCTAATCCTTATTTTTTTCCAGCAGATGGGCACAGTTGAGTTAGATAATGATGGCAATCTCATTGAAGAAGAAACCTCTCCTGAGCAGTTAATTTCTCCAGGTTCTCCTGATATAAACAATGTAGTAGGTAATCCACAAATAAATCCCCGAGTAGGTGAAGAATACCAAGTGGAAATTCCTGACATGATAACTGAAGCAGAGTATTTTCGACTTACAAACTCTGCAGATTCAGAAGGGAATGTTGATGTTTCTCATTCCTTTCTAGTAGGTTTACCTGTTCCAATCACATGGATCCATGAAAAAGTTATGGATGAAAGGTTCGGGTGTCGAAGTAAGCTTCATGATGCAGCTACTGTGAATGGTTTTCTCAAATCTAGGAAGAGAAAAAAGGGTCATAGTCCTAAAAAGAGCAAAGATTCGTATCTCGGTGATGAACAGTCAGGTAATGGGTTGGATGATGAAAAACAATCAAATTCAGTGAAACTTGGACCTGAGATAATGAGTAATGCTGAGCTGTTACTTTCATGTAAAGGCAAAAACTCTCATCCGGTTCCTGGTTCATCAGCTGACTATTGGAGCAACTCTTGGAGTGACGCAGAAGTTGATGTTTTGTTGCTTGGATTGTACATATTTGGGAAAGATTTTGATATGATAAAAAGACTCTTGGAAAACAAGGACATGGGGGAAATATTATCATTTTATTACAGAAAATTTTACAAGTCTGATGCATATCTTAGTTGGTTTGGTCGCCGAAAGAGGAAAAATAAAAAATTCTTTGGCAAGAAAATTTTTACTGGCTGGATACTGGAGGAATTATCATCTCGCTTGCTTATGCATATCCCTGAGGGATTAAAAAATGCTTCCCAGGAGGTACTTCTACTTTACTGCATGGAAACATTTTTTCCTTTTTGGGAACAGAATTTGGAAACTTTTTTGTTTACCAGAATGTGCATTGATGTGCATAACTGCATGCTAATGGATTTCAAAGTGTATTTAACTTTTGTAGCAAGTTGAAGTGGAAGTTTTGCAACATATGCAACCATACTATCATCTTCTAGTTATATGTGTAATCAATTAGGTAGCAGTAACTGTAATGTGAAGAATTATAAACTACCATTGGCAGGATGTGTAAAAATCAAGTTACATCAAACCTGCACCTCCTCTGCATAAACGCCTGTCAAATTTGGAGCCAGGGAAGCAACATTAAAAATACTGTCACTCCACAGTTTTCATGTGTTTAGATGTCATTTCTTTGCATCCTATAGTACTCTTGTTGTTTGTTTGTTTATCTGTTGATTCTTTTTCCCAAACTGATTCCCAATAAACGGTTAATGTTTTATAAATTCTTGCTTGAGTTTGCTCTTTCATAGTCAGCCCTCAGTGTTGTGGCCTTAAATCTCCTTGTATGGAAATGGAAACTACCATTGAATTATAATTTAATTAGCTTACAGAAAGTTCTTTTAATGATTCTTACAAACCAAATGCTGCTATTTCTGCATTAATTATATTTATGATCCATCACCAGGTCTCCAAGACATACACAGAGGGAAAAATGTCTTTTGATGATTACTTCTTCTCTTTGAAGAATATTTTTGGCCTTCATGCTCTTGTAGAAGCTGTAGGTATCGGTAAAGGGAAAGCTGATCTTATAGGCCTGGCCATGGAATCTCCAAAGACGAATCAAGCTGAAATACCCTCTGGGAAGGCTTGCTCCTCGCTTACATCCAGTGACATAATCAGATTTCTAACTGGAGATTTCCGGTTGAGCAAAGCTCGAAGTCATGATATCTTCTGGGAAGCCATTTGGCCTCGTTTGCTGGCAAGAGGGTGGCACTCTGAACAACCTAAATATCAGTGGTCTGTCAGTTCTAAACATCATCTGGTTTTTCTTATACCTGGAGTTAAGAAGTTCTCAAGAAGGAAGCTTGTTAAAGGAGACCACTATTTTGATTCTGTTACTGATATTTTGAGCAAAGTTGCATCTGAGCCAAATCTTCTTGAACTTGATGCCGATGGAGTTGGTCTCAGGAGCTGCAATGAAGAAGATGGAAGGGTTTTAGAAGAGCCACTGGATCAGGATGATCCATCTCATCATAAACGTCATTGTTACCTCAAGCCCCAGGTTTCAAGTGGCAGTCTGAGCCATGTGAAGTTCACCATTGTGGATTCCAGTTTGACCCACGGAGGAAAACCATCCAAGGTTAGAGAAATGACATATTCACCAATTGATCTTAAGATTTCTTCCAAATCAATCCATCAAGAAAACGAAGCTCTTCTCTTTGAGGCTTCAATTAAGGCAAATGCTAATGATATTCCATCAGGTGGTGAAAAGAGGGTTAGTAATGTTCAACAGGCCAAGGGTATAGTTAGTAGATTTACTGAAGACAACCCTAAGTTCACTATTGTTGATACCAGTTCAGTTCATGGAGGAAAATCATCCAAAGTTAGCAAACTCAGATATTTACCTGTTGGATTTAAAATTTCTCCTGAAATGAGTGGTTCATCAGGACTGAGTGAAGGGAATTCCTCTGGTGATTCATCAGAAGAACATGAGCCAAGTTCTACTGATAGACTGTTGAATGGTGATTTAGTTGCTGATAACACAATATCGAAAGGTAGCCCTGGTGCTCCTTATCAGCTGCTGGGTGCTCATATGAACCCCAATAAAACTAGGGAGAGTCCAGTGTGTACTGATGGCAGTTCATATCAAAAGCGAAATAAGTCATGTACTGCAGAAAACAGGGTGGAGACTGATCAGGATGAGAAGATCAATAAACCGGATGATAAAAAGTCAAAGAGGATTATAAAGCACCAGTTCTCCCGAAGAGCAAAATCCGCTAGTTCTTTTGCTGTAGCTCCTCCAGTGAAACGGCGGAGATTAACTGCTTGTGCTAAGACAGAAAAAAGGTGCCTGCCTGAGAATTTGGCACTGGACCAGAGTTCAGAACGAGCAGAGCCCTGTTGTGCTTTGAAATCACCAAACAGTAGTAGCAATTCTGTTGTTCAAGAGGGTTATTCTCAAAAGGTCTTGTTGCCTGGTCTGTCAGCCGAAAGCAATGCTGAAGATAAGGGGGTGCCTCCTGCCACTACTGAGAAAAGTCAATTCCAGTTGTCAATCGATCTGAACTTACCACAGGTTCCACTGGACTCTGGAGATGAACCTTTGATGATGGAAGGTGAAGACAACCAAAAAATAGATTCCAATGGTTCATATTCTCCATCTAGTACAGACAAGATTGCTGCAGAGTCAGTGAAAGCCTCTAATGATGTTGGTGCAGGGGAGGAGCTTATGATGAATTCCAGGAGGAAAAGCACAAGAAATCGACCATTGACTACTAGAGTGTTGGAAGCATTTGAAAATGGGTTCCTTCCCATGGACAGGAGGCAAAAGAGCAGGGAACAATCCCGAGGGATCCCATTTTCTATCCCTTCTCGCAAGGCACGCAGTCGAGTAAAAGCAACAGCAAATCGTGGTGGTATTGCCATTGGAACTGGGGATGTGATGCAAGGGGGAGAGGGGGCATTTTTTGGCAACAAAGATGTTGCTGATAAACCTCCTCATGCAGTTGAAGTTACTCACCAGGTGCAAATCACTAAAGTGGCTGCTTGTTCTGAAGTTATTTTTCTAGAACAACCCATACTCTAAGGTGCTGGAATATCATCCTCTGCTAGATGCTGGGTGTCATGGAAACTTGACCAACCATCCCAGACTCATTGCTTTAAGTTCATGTTTTACACACAAGATGTGGTTTATGGTTTCTCAGGACTGGCAGCAGTTTCAAAATTGGCAGACAGTAATTGCTCAACAGATCATAGCCATGAAGGAGGTAATCCCCTATACAAAATCGGGAGACAAAAATTCATGATAGAATCACTGATAATACAGGCTATTTACATCATTTGACATCCGCACAGAATCCAGGCGTGAGGCTCCTTTGACGTGCCAATCCCTTTAGTTCTTCATAATCTTATAACCATCTTGCAGTGTTCTAGTTGTTCAGTCTCATTATCATTTTGCACAGCGTCCCTGGCAGTCTTATATAATAATCACAGTTTTTGTTTCATTCAGTTGATAACTTTCTAGGATATGTGAATGCTTAAGAATTTCCTCCTTTTGGGTGAATCAAAGTTCCTTGATATAGTTTTGTTTGCATTTCTCTTTGCTTGTTCAAGCAGATTGGTGGAGTCTTGACTCAAGCCATCCAAAAATTGGGCTTTGGATGTTCACTTGAACTGGAATCCGGATGTGTTTTCTGAAATTCCAATGTACTGGTCTATGGGCTAATTTTTTCTTCTATTTTTTAAGATCAATTTGTCTATTCCAAAAGTCATATAACAAACACCTTATTCTAACTTAAGTGGATCACTAATAATTTTTTTAGTAGATGAGGTTCTGAATTTAAATCATACAAACATATCATAATAAAATAGTGTTAAAAAATAAAAGAAAAATATTTTTCATAATTCAACCTAAAGAATATAAAAAAAAAAAAAAACCTGATTCAACCAAGATCTTGAGAAAAATGAAAGTCATGATTGGTAGGCAGGCTTGGAAAAAGCCTGTCCAATAATGAAAATGATATTTAAGGAATAAATTAAGATGAAAATTCAGACGTCTTTCCAACTTAACAAAAGCGGTTCTTAAGCAATTTGATTAATCAAATTACATCAAAATATTGAAAAAAAAATGCTATGGATAGAGATGATATAACTACTACTTTTTTGTATGCAGCTCCCTATTTAATTCTTGTATGTTCTTTGCATATGGTTTAGTGGTTTTCGATGACGTTAATGGCACTTTGGGGAGATAGTTTGCTTTATAAAATATAAATACGACTGAAAATTGAAGAAGAAAAAAAATCAATGATTACCTGTATGCCTGGTTTGAGAGAGGGGAGAAGAGGATTGGGGAAAAAAATTTTATTTGGTTATTAAAAGAATTAAAGGGGATAAGAAGAAGAAAAAAAAAAGCTTTTTATTTTATTTATTTTTTAAATTTATTTACTTATTTAAATATTTGAATAGGAGAAAAGTGAAGGATAATAAGAGGAAATGGAGGGATGGACTTTATATTAGCAGGACTTGTCATTTCATTAAAGGTTTTATATTCCATTGGATGAAAAATAAGAAGTTTAAATTAAGCTATTTAATTTTTATTTAAGGTTGTTCGGTTTAGTTGTTTATTTTTTTAAAAAAAATTTCTTAATTTATTTGGACATTATATTTCAATAATTGTACCATGTAATTTGAACCATCATATTAACTAGTACTTTAACTAAAAGAAAATATCACCTGTGATACCTAAATATATGAGTAGTGATATAGAGAATAAAAATTAGGGTTAAAATTTAAAACTAATGATATAATATAAGTTTATAATTAAATAAGTTGATATATATAATATTATAGATTTTAATAAAATAAAAAGAATAAATAATTAAATAATATGTAATTTCCCTTTTAATATTTCAAATAACATGGCATTAATTCTATATTTTGGTCTTATAAAATTCATCCCTTTTTATCATCATTTAATATACAATTGGTCAATTATATAATAACATACATTATTCTTGTAAAGTTATAATAACACGTGATATTATAATTATATTATTTTTATTATCATAATAATATATCATGTCGATTATAAATTTATAATCATAATATATTATTAAATGAATAAATAAAATAAAATATTACAAATATATTTTTAATTAAAAAAATTAATCATAAAATAACACATCACATATCTAAATTATAAATTTATAATATTTTATAATATTATAATTATATCATTTTTATTTTGTTAATTTCAATTTCTATATTCTTAAAACAAATTATATATGGTAATAGTAATGTGCGGTTCCCTTCTAACATATCAATCATTCAGCTATAACATTTTTTCTTCTGATGTTTTACATCAATCAGTCAGGTATACCGTTTTTTCTTCTAATGTTTTACATCAATCATTATTAAGTTATAACACTTTTCTTATAATGTTTCACTAAAAAGAAAAAAATCTTATGCACCCGCAGCTTTGGCTGCTTTTTGGATGCGTTTAACTCTTGGTCTTCACAAAAGTTTAAAGTGCAATAACAATTTCCTATTCCCCATTTCCACCAAATTTCCCCCTACTCAAAAAAGAAAAAAAGAAAAAAAGAAAAAATCTTTTGAACCTATTTCCTAAATAAAAACAACTATTACTTAATTCGATCATGCACTTGTTCAACATCACGTTATCGTTTACCTTTGAATAGAGGCATAGCCCTTTTGTATAACCAAACAAATCAAGGAACAGTAACCAAACAGTGTCTAAATACATATTAATAGCTATCTATTTAGTCATAATATAAAACCACAAAAGAAGTCCTAGTTCTTGTCTTGTGTTCCTCCTACTACTCTCTTCTCTTCACCAGAAATAAAGGAGAATTTCCTGGTTTTTGTCTTGCTTTTGGTCACAACAAATCCCAACTTCCCTGCTCCTCTGTTTTTCTCATCCGCTTTCTTTTTTTTTTTTTTCATTTAAAGATAACTCTTCCTTTTCAACTCTTCATTTTTGAGAGCATCCCAGAGCGAGAAACCAAAGAAATTATCAGTAAGGGAGAGAGGAAGAAGAAAACCAGAGAGTCTTTTGGAAACAAGGAAGAGAAAGAAAAAAGGTTTCAATAAAAGATCTTTCTTTTTTTATTTATCACTTTTTTCCTCATCTTCCTCAAAAATGTCAATTACACCGGCTGGAAGCTCTCCTGCTGGATTAGAAGAAGTTCATCATCAACCACAACAAAAACAAGAACAAGTTACAGTGCTAAATGATCATTTTCATGGCTTGAACTCGTCGTCTTCGATCACAGATAAGAGCAACGGTTCCAACTCTACTCCATTACCTGTTAAGAAGAAGAGAAATCAGCCAGGAACTCCAGGTAATAATTAATTTAATTTCAATTTCTTTCAAGAACCATATGGGTTTTTTTTTTTTCCTTACTTTTGATTTTATTTCTGTTTAATTGTTCAAAAAATAAATTTGAAGTTTAATTCTCCATTGATAAATGTTAAATCAAAAGGGTTAATCTAAATTAATGTTGAATACATAATGGTTTCAGGTGATATTTTCATTTACCTCAGCTTGATATTTCATGGTTGAAGTTAAAACTGTTTTTTTTTTTTTTTTTTGGATCAAATTAAAACAAAAATGAAAAAAGCCAAAAAGAAAAGAGAAAAAATATGTTGGAGAAGACAAATTCAATTGATGAAGATAAGATTAATATTCTTTAAAATTTAATAATATTTTTTGGAAGTTTATTTTAATTTTTTTGATAAGAAAATATTGTTGAATTATTGCTTTCAATTATTGATATAGACATGCCTCAATCATTTATGTACTAGTAAACTTTTGGCTTTTCCCCAACTTTTTATCTCATCTTTTTTTTGTTTCTAGCTTTTACAAATAAAAGAATATACACATCTATATTCCAACTGCAAATCTGGAAAATTTTCCAAGTTTTAAGCTCGGGTTGCGGTACGTATGTTTTAAGTTAGTAATTAAGTAGTTTAAATAATTACTTGTACAAAAAATAGTATTTAAATTATAAATAATAATAACTCTCAGAGGTGCACTCTATTTAATTTTCTTAAATTTTAAAATTCAAAAAAAATTATATAAGAATCCGATATTCAACATAAAATTAATTAATAATAAATAATAAATGAAGACTCTATTTTATGTTTAAATACAGTTATTATTTGCTTTGAAGTAGGATTTTCCATCTTAACAAAATCTGAGATTATTTCCTATTAATTAAAAGGATACAAAATATTTGCAGATCCTAATGCAGAAGTCATTGCTCTATCACCAAAAACCCTCTTGGCCACAAACCGCTTTGTTTGTGAAATATGCAATAAGGGATTCCCAAGAGACCAAAACTTGCAATTGCACCGGCGAGGGCATAATCTGCCGTGGAAGCTCCAGCTAAGAACGAGCTTCCAGAAAAAGGTCTACGTCTGCCCGGAACCCTCCTGCGTTCACCATAATCCAGCACGTGCCTTGGGCGACCTCACCGGGATCAAGAAGCATTTCTGTAGAAAACATGGTGAGAAAAAATGGAAATGTGAGAAGTGCACCAAGAAGTATGCTGTTCAGTCAGATTGGAAAGCTCATTCCAAGGCCTGTGGTACCAAGGAATACAAGTGTGACTGTGGCGCAATCCTTCCCAGGTAATTAATTCTTTTTTGTCAGTTTTGCTGGAATTACATATATGGTCTATATAACTCTATATGAACTACAAAAAAAAAATATTGGACAATGATTAATACATATTTTGATTTAATATATTGTGTAACACACTCATTAAAAAATTATTATTATTTAATTTAAAATTAAAAATAAATAAGTTTAATGATATAATTACACATACATGATATAAGAACCGATTGAATTGATTGTATTTATATTATATTGTTAATGATTAAACTGAGAATGTATCAAAAAATATGTAGAATTGAGGGTGTACCAATCATTTTTCAAAATTATTATATAGAAAAAAATACTTACACATATATAATTGTTAGTTCTATACCGTCTAATGTAACTCTAACTACACAAAATATTTTTGTTTTACAATTCTATCTTTGTTCCTACAAGATTAATTTATTGCACTTTTTCGATACGTATATCTTGGTACATATATACAACAAAGAAATTCCTCCACAATACTTATCTTTAATAATTCTTTTTTGGATTTTTTTTGTAAATTTTAATTTGGGGAAGGATGAGTCATTTGCTTTAGTTGAAACTTTAAAATCCCAAGCTTTTAGGCTTAGATGATAAGATCCACAATGATATAATTATAATACTATATAAAATT